AGAAAGCAGGTTGTGTTTGAACCATAACTTCAGAGTGTCTCCAAATGCTCTTGCGGCCAAGCCAATACGGCGCGTTACGTCCTCCCCGGAGCCGTATAGCGAGCCGAGTGTCTTCACCTGTCGCCAAGCTTCTTTACCACGAGTTGTGCCGACCTTTCTAGATGTTGTAGAGGTGGCATCTCCCAAAGTGGGTTCCAGGTAAATACGGATCCACTCAGTCTTACTGGTATTGACGGTAAGACCCCATTCGGAGAAGACGCCTGCGATGACGGCATACGTTATTCACATACGTTATTCACATACGTTATTCACATACGTTATTCACATACGTTATTCACATACGTTATGCACATACTTGTAATGTCACAAACATTAAATTTTGGTTCTCAACGGAATCGAAGAAACAGACAACGGTGCGTAGTTTAGGTGTGGAGCAGCTGTGCGCCAGGGATGTTTGAGTGATTTAGTAGCCCCCCCCCCCTCCCCAACCGCGTGGCCGTGGCTACACCAGCTATTTATGTCTTTCTCAAAACCGCACAACCCTGCATTCGGAGCCCGGGCCGGGGGGGGGGGGGCACTTGGCATGTACATTGTGCGGGTGATCCTTATACCGGGATTTAATTTCCGGCCCAAGGGGGGGGGGGTCCCCCGTCGGTTTCCGAGGAAGCCGTAACTTTTTTCCGCTCCAAACTATTTTTCCGGGGTCCATCTACTCACAAAATGTCGTTTTGCACACCTTTTTGCCCATCCCTGTACAACTGAGTCCAGCTACATGTATGTCCGCGCAGAGTTAGGTGGATCCCTAAGGCATTATGCCGTGAAATATCGAGCACTGCCAAAAGCATTATACTGTGAAAAAACGAGCATTAGCCGCCGATGCCTAGCTATTGCTGTTTTTAAAATATTTCTTTTTAGAACTTTATTATTCATAATTATTTTGTGCAGGATTCCTCACTGAAATTATTTAAAAAAATAAATAAGGCCAAACTAAAGAAGGTGTGTGGTTCGACTAACATGGACATTTTTTTTACGGGCGGGCGGGCGGATTTTTTTTTTAAATATATTTTTTAGTACATGTAAATACACCGTACTGCCTTTAGACACCCAGTACATCGGCATTATTACGCAGTGTTAGGGTCCGTCCAAGGTTACCAATCATATTTTCAAAACGAAATGTTTTCGTTTGTGGGTGGGTGGGTTTGATGAAGTTTCGTTTTGAAAATAATTTTTGAATGCTGATGGAGAATGCCCAGTTACTTCTGGGTGTCGAAAATTGACATCAATATTTTATTGGAATTCGTTTTACCTGCAGAAAAGGTGGGTGGGTGGGTGGGGGCTGAAAAATACTAAAACTTTTCGTTTTGTAAAAACAATCGGTAACCCCGGACGGCCCCTTATGCCATACATGTTGTATAAAGGGATCACTGGCTAATACTTTGAAACATTGTGTAGCTCTGGAACGAGAAGAGAATAACTTCAAGCGGTGACTCTGATCGACTGTCCAAATCATCAAGCAAATGAAGAACGATGCGAGTTGAAAGTAAGTTCGGGAACTACTTCGAAGTACAAATTGTACAATGTACCGGTACATGTATTGCTAGTTTGGTGTCGGCGTGCACGAATACATAATATGGGCTTTTTCCATCGACGCTTCCTGTGCGGCTTGCACACATGGAGCAGCAACTTACCGGTACAGGTGAAATATCGTTCCCAATACACGAGGAAAGTGCAATCTCGTCTGTCCTTCATCCCAAAACAGAAGGCCGTCCTTAATCTGGAAGGAGGCAATCACTCTCAACCGGACGTCGACGGTCACTTCAAAATAAGTCTCGCCAGTCTGCCGGTGGTCGTATCGAGTAGACTCTACAACCAGCACAAGGCAGCAGTCGTACCACTCACTGCACTGCACTGCAGTACAACAACAAGTCAAGTCCAAAAGGAGCCGCCTAGCCTGCGTCCGCAGACTCATGCTCACGCTGCACAGCACGTAGACGTGGACGTGTTCAGTCCACGTACGTACGTCAGTCACACGACAGCCCGCCGAAAAAAAGTTACGGTCGGGCTGAAAAATGTACGGTCGGTCGGGTTAGTCGAACCACAGACCTTCTTCAGTGTGGCCTAATAATATTAAATAATAAAATAAAAGTGTGTAGCTACATGACTTTGTACCATGTGTACCATGACTACAAAGCTGATTATAGCAATAAAAACTGCTTAATGGCAGTTTTCTAAAAAAAGTTATTGTGTTCTAGTCCATGGACCCCGTCTAAAAAGTAAGAAATTAACGAAATGTGATAGCTGAAAATTAAAATTTCACACAAAACCTCACAATAATCACAACACTTGAAATGCTGCTTTCAACCAGGGAGTAGTACAATACTACTCCCTGCTTTCAACACTAAACTTGTACTGCACCAACAATTGGCAACATGCATGCATAGGAAAGAGGATCGCGAGGGGAAAAGGTCTTCTGCATGTAGCTTTTCATTCTGTGTGTGATTATTGTGAGGTTTTGTGTGAAATTTTAATTTTCAGCTATCACATTTCGTTAATTTCTTACTTTTTAGACGGGGTCCATGGACTAGAACACAATAACTTTTTTTAGAAAACTGCCATTAAGCAGTTTTTATTGCTATAATTTCTTTTGTTTTTTCTGTCACCAATCAATGGAATGCCCTATATCAATATGTAAATGATGGCCTTCACATCATATCAATACCATATTATACGCATTGATGTGCAAGCCTTTTCTTGCAGAAAATGGCACTAGCATAATGCATGTTCTTCTGCGGGGAAACATGTGAGCAGTGGTGGTGATACTTTTTTATACGGAGGTCATTCTGTGCATGTTGCTGTTGCAGAATTTCATGACTCTGTAATAAAATTGTCTTGCCTTTCAGATATTTCAGATTACTCCACCCTCAATCAGATTTATTTGAGAAATGTAGCCATGCGGCAGGTGCGTGTCGCAGATGTTTTTGTTGATTCTGTGTTTATAATGGTTTATAGTCATGGGTTATCGTGATAAGGTCATCCAGCATCATATTGAAACTGAAATCGTAATCCTGTTGATGTCGAAACAACTTTTGGAAGTAGTTCAATGACTTCAAACTGTTAGTCCACGATTGTCTAAAACAACACAGCAGGAACAATAAACATGTATTAAAATGTAAACGAATACATTGCCGAGTCCAAAACCTCGTTTCAACAACTACACTGATCCTGAGGAGAAAAGGGGCAAGGCTATGGTTGGAGGTACTGAGAGATAAACAAGGCACTCCGCAATAATAAAATCTTACACATCTTTTGGTGAGTATGAATGATATCCAGTCGAACCTCTTTAGGACGAACACCAAGGGACCGATGGTATTTATTCTGTGAGCTTAACCTATTTTATAACCAGAGAATACAATTATATCTCCAATAGACATACGAATAGATTTCTTCTACAGCGAAAGATTCTAAGCCACACCGACTCATTGACTCGTCTCGTATGAAACAATTGAGTCACAAGAGAGATTCTGCAAAACGAAAATGCGTACAAACTTTCGTTCTACATCATGAAGTGCGAAACTTCGCACCTTTGGACGCGAAACTTGCAGGGAACGCGAAATGAACTGTCGTAGGAAATTTCGTGAGATCGGGTTATGGCGTAAGTGCAATTGGCCCGCGCAAACTACGAAAATGTGCAGAACGCAAAGTTCGTGCAAAAATTCGCACACACTTTCGCAAGGACTGTCGCGAAACTTCGTTCGAATTTTCGTTTTGCAGAACCTCTCTACTGTACCTTTCTTTAGCAACATGACGGCAACTGAAACAGCAACAGAGAAAGTACGATACATGTACTCCACATTTTTACAGGTACTACAAACAGATTGCAGGTCGTAATTCTTGCTTTGGCGGCACGAAACTTTATTTGAGGCAGTGCAATCTCGGCGGTACTCACAAATCAAACAGCCCAGACTTGAGTAAACAAATCCAATCATACATGTACGAGTTTTTCACGAGACGCGACTGCACCCATTGGCTTGTTTCGTATGAAACAAACAAGTTACTGAACCTCTCCACAATAGAGATTCCCCTGATATGCGAATTTATTTTGCAAGCTCGGTCAATTGGTACTTGAACCTTTCCCTCCAGATTGGGAACTGCCAACGATAGTATGCCACTGACCAGTGCCTTACTTGTAACGTACCAATGTACAATGAATATGAGTATTTCGACAACACATCTAACATAAGCCTTACCGTCAAGAAGTTGAACTCGCGTTCTTCGCACACTGTAGACAAGGGCAAAGAGATAAAATGGATCTAAATCCGAATAAAATCAGCACACGTTTCCGAAAATGAAAGGTGAACATAAGCAAATGAATCGAAGGAAACCGGTCAACTTAGAGATCACCTGTCATCGAGTATTCCGTAAAAGGAGGCCTCGCAGCTCGGCAGCAGAAAAGCAAAATTTAGAAAAGAGATCCTGTCAACTTTTCCATTATTTATTGCATTCCGCCCCAAAATCAACACACTTTTCCTGAATGAAAGAGTCAACACAAGCAAATGAATCAAAGGCAACTGGTCAACTCACCTGTGGCTGTCATTGAGTAATATTCCGCGAAAGGAGGTCTCAGCAGCGCCGAAACGAAATAAGCCAGGCCATGAGACGAAATATCCGAAACAGCTCATGCAAGAAGCAGTTCCAAAGAAGGAAGTATTCCTCGCGCATGCACATCCGAACACGGATCCGCGGACTGAACACAATAATGTCTGCCGTGCACGTGCACAGCACACGGCTACCACCCGCTGGTAGATCTAATACCGAGCACCTTACGTAGAGACTTACGTAGCCTAAGTGAAATACCGAGCACCTTACGTAGAAACTTACGTAGCATAGCGATGTCGTTTTTTCTGCCATGTGAACACAATAATAGAAAAGCTGACAGGATCGCTTTTCTAAATGAACATCACCATGATGATCACAGACGGTCAGGGATGTTTGTCGATGCCAACATGACCATTCTGACACTTGACAGTACAATGTTTGGTATCGCTTCAGGTAGTGCTAGTTTCAGCTGTAGATACTGGGTCAATGGACTGCTGCTTGTTACTGCTGACTATGAATGTCGCTGCCTGATGCTGTGAACAAAATAAATTTAGTTGATGCTCGTTGTAATCCCACCTCCGCCTTGGATATACATGGCGTATTGTACACGAACTCACGAGCGGAGCAGCAACAATCACCAGATGCCCACTGATGGAGATGAAGATCTACCAATAGTCAATACCACGAAGTGCAAGACAGTCCAATCGATCACTGTCGTCAGGCTCTACAGGTATATTCTTTATTGTTTGCAATCATAGCAGCGAGCTTTTTTTATAGTGCTCGGTAATGATACTCGTGCTCTTGTTCTAGCCGTTATTTTGTTATAAAATCTAACGGTGATACTCACTAATGATATGGGTGGTTATGGTTATGAGTTCTCATAATCGAGGTGGTGTTCTACAGCAGGGTTGCGACTGTTTGTATGCAGTGTGGCGTTACAACTGACACAAACACTGCCTTGCGATCCACTGCATAGAAACTGTATACCATTTACGAGTATGTCATTCGAATGCCTGTGTAGTGAATGTAACATTTTGAAGGAGGATATCCCGAGACTCTTGAAAACAATTATGCTGGGAATATTATTATGATTGGCCAGGGCAATTATTAATTATTAGAGTGATCACAGTGATTGGCTTGGGCAGTTGCCATGGTTACGCTGACCTCCGCTGGTGAGACCTAGTACAGTAGTACTAGTAGTAGTTGAAGTACTACAGTCCATTCAGAAAAAAATGAACTTCTAGCTTTTGGCCATAAATGGGTCTAACGTTGAGTTTTTTTAGAATTTTTTTCTGCAATCCCATATGGAATCCTCTTCCAATTATGTTTCTGAAGTTTTTTTTTGTCCAAAAAGCAAGCCATAGCAAGAATAGGATTTCGGCCAGGTTTTGCCCCAAAAGCACTGAATTGGGAAAAACCATCAAAATCCAGGCCGTTTGACCCCGCCTGCAACAGTGCATTCTGCGGTTCGAACCCCAGTTCAGGCACCCTTTTTGGACCCTTTTTCAAATTTCAAAGTTCGCAGCACTGCACTGTGAACGATGAAATCACGAAAAATCGCCAAATACGGGAGCTCGCCAGAGCCAGGACCCATCTTTTTATGAATGGACTGTAGTATAGTACGTGTACTAGTAGGAGGCGGAAACAGCTAGCTGTTGGGAGCAGAGTAGGGAATACGGTGTGGTGTGTGTGTGTGTGTGTGTGTGTGTGTGTGTGTGTGTGTGTGTGTGTGTGTGTGTGTGTGTGTGTGTGTGCATGTGTGTGTGTGTGGGGGGGGGGGGGGGTGGTACATGGTGTGTGTGTGTGTGTGTGTGTGTGTGTGTGTGTGTGTGTGTGTGTGCGTGTGTGTACTTTTGAGGTACTGTACTTCAGGCTCAATCCCTAGTGTGCATTACACATGTACTGTGTGCACTACACATGTACTGTGTGCACTACACATGTACTGCAGATCAGGACCTGAGTCGTAAAGGTGCCTGTAACTATTAGCTCCACGACACCCACTGGAGATGAGAATTGTATCCCTGCAGTGTGCCGAAACTTTGACTGAAAGGGAGCGTGCACATCATACTCCTGCAAATTGACATTACATAACGCTACGTGCCACAACTGGTAATCAGAACTCAGCAGCAAGCCAGGTCCCTCAGCAACTGATATGGAAGTTGGAGTCAAGTGCCCTCCCCCTGAAGAAGGCCCAAGAAGTTAGAACTGTGTTCATGGATAAATTAATGTGATCAGTTGAACCATATTTCTAACACTAGCACCACCGGTCGAAGGCTAGATGATTTTGTTTGCGCGTGGGTAGGTGCTGATGTTTTACAGCTTTCATGCCAGTGTGTTCGTGTTTTTGTGTGCAGGTGCCATCGTTCTTTTGCTGTGCAGTAGCATCTCGAATTCCGATTCCGGTATGGCTTCCATGCCGCGAGCCAAGGAGCTCCAAGTACTAGTTGACCTTCAGAAAAGCCCGTCGACACACTTGAAGGCTAACCTGTGCAGCAAGCAGCTGAAGTACATTCCCGGTCACGTCGGTGTGTTGCGCAACCTGGACACGCTGCTGTTGAGGAAGAACTGTCTGGATGCATTGCCGGAGGAAATAGCTGATTTACCCATTGTAAGTATATATAGCATTGCAGAAGGCCAAATGAATCAGAGTCTTCTGGAGTTGCATACGTTCTGGTGTTTTAGTGGCCGGAGTTCGATGAAGGCTCACTAAAAGTGAGGGAACTGATTAGTACAGTCAGTATTGCTGGTGCAGCAGAAGCCTCTCGGCAACACAGGGTACCCCATGCTCAAGATTCTGATCGGTCCTGGAGCCAAGTTCAACTCCTAGCTCCCAAGCTGTATGTCACCGTGTGACACTGTCTTCAGGAAAACCCTCCCCCTATTCAGCACCCCCCCCCCCCCTCTATTCAGGACAGATGCACCTGATAGACCCCTAGGGTTTTCGTAATACTGAGAGAGCTGTCATTGTATCCCATGTCAATACCTGCCGAATAGGGTCCGTACCAGTTGTGTACTGTGGCTGTGTGGAACGGGGTCTTTCAGAACCAGTGGCATCAGTCGTTGGCCTTCCTGTACTGTCTGCTTGTGGTGTTCTTGCCAGCTCAAAGTTCTGGATGTTGGCCACAACCAGTTTGAGGAAATACCACCGTGTTTAGCTAACTGTCCACATCTGACAACACTGCGGATCAATGACAACGTGCTCAGATGCCTAGACAGTGGTATATTAGGTAGGTGCTTGACAGGGACGTAGCTGGTCCGGGCCCCCTGTTGGGGGGGGGGGGGGGTGCATGGCCCCATAGCCTTATGTGCAGGTTGGCTGGTGCATGTCATTCATGCTCATTACGTGCATGCTGAACCTAGGTCGACATTTTTTTTGGGGGGGGGGGGGGGAGTGCCCGTGCCCCCTTGCCCCATGCGAGCTACGTGCCTGGTGCTTGAGGTTGCCATTGCCGATGGATCATTGAGCTCGTTTTCATAATTTCCTTTCGCAAAACACCAATTTCTGTACAGTCACATCAGCCCAGCTAACTCAGTCACCTCAGCCCAGCTTACTCAGTCACATCAGCCCAGCTCACTCAGTCACGTCAGCCCAGCTAACTCAGTCACATCAGCCCAGCTAACTCAGGCTCTAGCCCTGGCAGCACGCTTACGGTATACACATACGTATCTTCCCGTTCTGCCCGCACGCTTATATAATGCGTAGCTTCCCGTTTTGCGGCGCTTTAATTCTTGTTGACCTTCAGGGAAGCTGCGTCATCTGACAGTCCTCAACGCGAGCGGCTGTGCTCTGTCTGAACTGCCAGCTGCCATTAGCCAGTAAGTTAGAGCAACGTATAGTAGCAGAGATGAGAGTGCCCGATTCCATCCATTGCCAATGTAGACCCGGTACAAAGGTGCATGGTTGTATTCTTGCCTTGCCCTTCCCAGTCTGAGCGGGATTCATGACAACCCTAACTGCCCCATTTCCGTTTCGGAGACATTAAATGATTTTATTAGTGCCGGAGTCTGAGGTCCTGTGAGACCTGATGCAGCCCAAGACCATCATAACCATTATGATGTTTCATGTATGCTCACATGTAGCACATCCTCCAGAGCGGCTTGGCTGCGAGGGAATTTTTCTTTCCAATCACATTCTATCATAAAGGGTGCACATGACGTGCCCACATACGGACCAATATCAGACTCTGCAAAAGTACCAAATGTACGGCTTCACCTGTAGCCCAACATTGCTGATAGAGGCTTGATAACCTGGTGTGCTGTGATTTCATTGCAAGCCAAACCAGTCAGTGAACATTGTAAGCTTTGATATCTGTTGTTGGCTGTAGGCTCACCAACCTGACCGAACTTGCTGTTTCAAGGAATGACCTGTGCAGTTTGCCAAGACAGATTGGTGATCTCCAGTCGTTGCGATCCTTACTAGCCAACACAAACAGACTTTGCAGGTAACGTGAGTGCGCCTCCTGCTCAACTGTCATTTTCATCAGTTTGCTATCATGCGTACATGCGTGTTTCGTAAGACCAGTAAATCAAGAGTTCTGAATGTAAATATAGCCGAGTAAGAAGTGGTTTTGCTCCAAAGTCAGCCTGTTGGAATGGTAATGTTTCATATACGACAAGAAGTTCGCTGAGACAACTCAGCCTTGATACGTCTTATGACCATGAATATTGGCACATTTGCTCTTGATCGACACGTACATCTGCGGTGGTGGCGATGATAACAACTGCATGTTATCATTCTACATTGAATAATGACGTTATGCTTGCTACAGGCTGCCGGGCAGTATTGGAAATTTGAACAATCTACGTGTTCTGGACGTGGCCAATAACCAACTTGTTGCCATACCGCGGGTAAGAGTCACACATCATTTATTGCTGAACCCACAAATAATTGTGATACAGATTGTAAACCATTCGAGTTAAAAGAGAAAGCCATTAATATAAAATATATAAAAAGAAGAAAAGGTTATTGTACCATGCCAGACGGCTATTATTAAAGGGGAAGTATACCCTTAAATCAAACTTTCACCAGTTGTAGTCTTCGGGGTACTGAGTCGAATGGTCTTGGTCCGAGGAAGCTGAGACGCTCCCTTCCTCCTTTATTCCCAATCGAACTCGCGCACTTCTACCGAAACTGGGTGACTGCGCCCTACTAGATGGGGATTTGTATGCAAAATGTCACTAAAAGCGCCATTTCGTTCTTATAAAAGCACGGATGACCGCGATTGGCCCATATGTTGTAGTCTTTTGGACGCTGAGTCGACTGGTTTTGGTCCGAAAAGGCTGCGATGCAGCGTTCCTCCTTTATTCCCAATCGAACATGATTGAACAAGCGGTCAGGTGCTCCTGCGTACACCAGTCACCTGGTCACCCTGCCTGCAGGGTAAAACTTACTAGCCTGTTTGACCTTTTTTGGGTGCAGTCCTGTCACTCGAGTTGAACTCGAGTTGAACCTTGGTGTGAAAGTTCTCGCCTGCTGGCGTGGTGACCAGGTGATTTTGGCACCCAGGAGCACGTGACCGCTTGTTCAACCATGTTCGATTGGGAATAAAGGAGGAACACTGCATCGCAGCCTTTTCGGACCAAAACCAGTCGACTCAGCGTCCAAAAGACTACAACATATGGGCCAATCGCGGTCATCCGTGCTTTTATAAGAACGAAATGGCGCTTTTAGTGACATTTTGCATACAAATCCCCATCTAGTAGGGCACAGTCACCCATTTTCGGTGGAAGTGCGCGGGTTCGATTGGGAAAAAGAAGGAAGGGAGCGTCGCAGCTTCCTCGGACCAAGACCATTCGACTCAGCACCCAGAAGACTACAACTGGTGAAAATCTGATTTTATAGGGTATACTTCCCCTTCAAGTCATGTACCAATTGTAGTACATACCGCGGGTAAGAGTGCATGTAGTACTGCCGAATATGAAATTAGCTCAAGCCAAATGCGTATGCTTGTTGTTGACTGCTTTACTTTGAAGTATATTGAATGTACTTCGCTGTGGGTGGGTGGGTGAGGGGGGGGGGGGGGGCAGCAAGGCTATTTGCTGTCTCTAGCTTGGAGCTCCTACCCTCCTGCCAGGGTTCTCAGTGGCCTCATTCTGTCAGCAGTATGCCCGTGTTTCTGTCCATCTGACTGCCGAGTTTATCGAATGCTGGATGCACAGGAACACAAGGGCATAGTCGGCTTTGTCTGTTATGCCCAGAAACAATGTGATTCTGCCGGTTTTGTCACCAAAGCAGTGCCGCATTGCTGTGGGTTGATAGATATCACACAGCTATGTAGCTAGCGTGGAATCACTTGAAAGGTACTCCAAGCCACTTCCCTTGCGCCACTGCATGCACTGTTCTGTACTGCGCCTTTGTGCTGTAGACGATCGGAAAATGCCAATATCTCAGGGATCTTGACACGAGAGTGAACCGCATAGGGGTGTTCCCTTCAGAGGTAAGACGGGCTTTGATGCTGATTTCAGATGTTTGTCAATTCATGGTTTCTGCAGCGGAGACAATATAGCCTGCTAGACTCTCTTTCGCTGACAAATGTTGTCTTTCTCTCCACTCGGCACACACACACATACACACACACACACACACACACACACACACACACACCAGGGACGTAGTGTGCCTTACACATCTGTGGTGTGCTGTCATGTAATAACGGCCTGTGTGTATGAACAGCTTCATATCTCGTATTACACTGCCATCAGCACTGTACAATGCCATCAGCAATTCACGACAGTTCCGCTCTGGACCATGCTATCGTATTGAAGTACAATTCACGACAGTTCCGCGCGGAATATGATGCTTTTATCTGTCTTTCCATTGTTTGCCATGCAGTCAAGTCTCCAGCACTTTTACTTTAAAATAGTCTTGCCTGTTGTTGTTCACCTTTATGCCATAAAGGCGCATGATTATAGTTTTGATCCAGTGAGGATGGGCCATAGCTGGAAATTTGATGAACATAGAAAGAGGTTCACTGCATAGGGACCATTGTTTATGAGTGTGGATGATAAGTAAAGCATGAAAAAAGCTGCATTGGAGCGTTCATTGTAAATGAATTTTATCTGTTTGCAGATGGTGAACCTGAAGTTGGAGAAGTTTGACTGTTCATTAAATCCTCTGATAAAAAAGATTCCCCTTCCCATGGCGAATATGGATGAGGTCTTTCCACTGAAGGTAAGTTCAAAGATGAGCGCGGACCACTGGGACATGATGTCATGAGGCAAGCTGTTGAGTCATCACTGTGACTGACTAGTGGTGGTCTAATTGGCGTGAGGTCATCCTTCGACCGGACTGAATTTCGGGAATTGTATAATATTTTGTGTTAGCGCCTATGTGAGAAGTATCTCAAGTGAGCAATTGTGTTGCCACTTTTCTTGATAGAAAAAGCACCGTCCAGTGTTTCCAGCCATTCAGTACTCCATAGCCTTCATTCATCTAAGCTTTAGGGGATGAAATAATCAAATTTACGGTGTGAAAGAATCAGTAATCCACTGATGAGATCTGAGACCTGTAAGATCAAATTACTGTGTGCAGGAGTCAGCACTGTCTGCCATAATTTGGATATATCTTGCTTGTGTGATGAAAGAGATCAGCCGCCGGCCCGGACACCGCACATGGTTGGCCAGAGAGCGCACGTGGCGGGGGGATTGGAAGTCGCGGCACCATGCCCTTTTGCACATTCCGTTTTGTTCGGTTTTTGTTTCATGACTGTGCAGGAGCTGTGTGCACGCCGGGTCTTGGAAGATGTACCTACACTGTACGTGACCCTGCGATTACCTCCTACTAGACTATACCGGGTTACAGAGTGTTTTGTCTGGACATAGCTCGAAGTACAGTACCTCTCAATGAAATCTGATCGAGTCACTCGAGCAACTTTAAAAGCGCCAGGCGTTGCGCAGCCCTCGACCTGCGAACACTGGGCTGCGAAGTGGCGCAAGCCGCACACTTGACTCACATGACCGGATTTCATTGAGCACCACTGTACATACTTATGTTTCTGTAGCCCAAGCAGTCAGTGAATGGGCTTGTGTAACCATCTGCCCTCAGTCAGCACTGAATTCGAGAACCAGCATGAACCATGAAGTCTCCCATTGCACGGCTTACAGCGTGCCGCACCCGCGTGATATTTGCAAACCCAAGAATTGACTTTATGTCGCACAATGGGCTCATGCCCGAACAGTCCCCGGCTCCCATCTCAGATCTTGATGAATATGAAGTTCATCATAGCGAATTTATAAAGCAAAGGGATTGAGCCAGTTCAATGTGTAGGCATTATGTCCAATTAATGTTGTTGCACCAATATGAAACTCTTCAGCTTTGCCAGTATCTGCCCAATGTAGCCATGCGAGATCAGCCGGCATGCTACGTAAAAACTAGCCATAAATGATATAAAAGAGAAAGGGCCAATAAGTTACTAGCAATGCCTAACCGTCCACCAAGGTAACGAGATCTTATACAGTCAGATAGTGTGACAACACGGCTGTTGACTGTTAGTCATAACTACTCAATCGGCGGACAGAACTGTTTCGTCATTTGTGGACGTTAGACATAACTAGTAACTTCTTGGTCCGCCTTGCAGCCTAGCCCACAACACCTCGGTGTATTTTCAAGTCAAAATTAAAAAAAAAAACCTGATGCACAATGCAAACATCTGCTCTGCTGTGAGGTCGAAGAGTATGCGTGTTTCTGTGTATGTCTTCAGGAAACGTGCGTCTCACTTCATCAAAACCAAAGATCCAATTCTGTACCAAGCGCTGGCAGCGGCATCTGAATGCAGCGTGTGCCAGCGGAACTTCCTCTCCATCTGCATAGAGTGTGTGATGTTTGTCTCCATAAAGAAGGTGAGTCCAGCTGGACACCGCAATAGCCCTTGGCGGAGAATGCTCGGAAATTTTTCAGATTCTGCTCGTAAAGCAGTGAACTTGGCAGAACCATAGAAACCTTATGGCAGCCACTTCCTTAATTCTGGTCCATTTCTTTATGCACACACCAAACATGCATGAAACATACCAGAAACAAGTAACAAATTCTGCCAATTTTTCTGCCGGCATTTATCCTCCAGGGGCTGCCCCGCCATGGATGCCCTGATGCTGTCAATACATTTTTTCCAATCTGTACTCCTTCATTTACTCCTCTGTTGTGAGCCCATCACTGAATGTGATCAATTGATCATTTCCAAGTTCACCCAGAGTCCGGCATGTCAGCCATTGGGCGGTTGAGCGCAAAAGCAAGTTTAATAATCATCTTTCCAAGAGTCTCAGTTTGAATCTCTCCTCCCCCCGCCCAGCTTCAAGGGAGACCCACAAGTGATACCTACAGGTATGTGTGGGGGGATGGGGGGGGGGGGGGGGCGAATAGTTTAATGTGGGCGGCAGATTTCAATCAATGATAGTCATTTTTGTATACTATTATACCGCATGTGTGTCCATTGGCATGCACAGGTGTTCCCAGAGACTCGCAAATCTGGACAGATACCCATGCAGGCTCTGCTTTGCTCACACAAGTGCTTCCAGGAACAGCGCTCGGAAAACCAATACTATGGGCTGCTACAACTGCCACCGCCGATATGACCCCTAGAAGCAGAGAGACCTGGCGATAGAATATGTTCGTGGACACACAATGCATGTATGTTTTGAGAACCGCTCAGTTCAACGTGTTGTTTCTGCTTCTGCTTCTGAAAGAGGCAAGGAGTGAGTGGCAATGGTCAGAGCACATGGCAAGTCATCCTCATGCATGTGTTATTAGTAGAGACTCGCCGGTATGCTCAGTTGCGCCCGCACTGTTTGTTATATGCATTCCGGTAGCTGCAAGCCAACACACGAAATCACAGTTGAGTCGAGATAGTGCATCATCGGGAGAGGTCTCCTTGACTAACGAACACTAACACAGCCTTATTTTTTGTTAAAACCCACTCTAATATGTGATTAAAAAGAAGGATTGGCCACATGCCACTGTGCCATGTCTGTACTTCTGTACGTTGCTTTGCTTTTGGATCTCAGCAAAGTTTATTTCCGATGATGATACACACTAATTCCGAAAATATCGGCAAGAAAAAGAACAATTTTTCTCCACCACAATCATTAGGATTCGAGAAATGTTTCCACGAACCAGTTTTCGTGCAATGTCCAAGAGAATTACACTCAAAGTCATATCTCTCTCTAATCCGGGTGCTGCCCATAACTTGGACATGTTCGTTACTCTAATACCGTACATTTCCATGGGGAATGGTCAGAGATATGGGATATGACGTCACCTTTTCATGGGGAATGGTCAGAGATATGGGATATGACGTAATCTTTTCAACAAAAAATCAAGTTGACAAAAGATGAGTAATATTTCCACTAGAACTCAACCACAGGGAGAACAGTAGACCGAGGGGCTAGTAACCATGGTAACTACCTGTACTTGGAGCTCTAGCTGGATATGAAAGATATGACTCATTATCAGTGCAGTCAGTGCACAAGCAACTACTAGTAGAACCAATGAACAGTACGAATGATAGCGTCAAAAGGGAGGTACCCATTACCAGATCATGACAACGAAGTCATAAATTCAGCGAAGAAATAGTTTGCAAAAGGGGAGAGGAACAAAAGATGGGAAAAAAGAAAGAGAAGGTGAGAAGGGAGACAAGAGGGATTTTTCATGCAGTGATTCGCTTTTTGTCTCCTGGAAAGTTTTCAATTCTGGAAATAGGTTTGATTTTCATTTATAGGAGAAGCTACTAGTAACTTAGGCAGCAGAATTCAGTACTCCGAAGGAACCCCTTGTTATTGTGGGGAAGGTGTGCGTGGTCGGCTACAGAGCACAGCAGTGGCGGTGGTGGTGTAGTCAATGACTATGTACACAGGTTTGATTTTCATACGCACTGTTCAAATGTCTTCTTGTTCCAATTTTTGGCCAAAGAGGTGAACCTCGTTCAAAGACTATGAACCTGGTTCCACAGACCATCAACTTGGTTCCAGAGACCATGAACCTGGTTCCAGAGACCATGAACCTGGTTCCAGAGACCATGAACCTGGTTCCACAGACCATGAACCTGGTTCCACAGACCATGAACCTGGTTCCAGAGACCATGAACCTGGTTCCAGAGACCATGAACCTGGTTCCAGAGACCATGAACCTGGTTCCACAGACCATGAACCTGGTCCCACAGACCATGAACCTGGTCCCACAGACCATGAACCTGGTTCCACAGACCATGAACCTGGTTCCACAGACCATGAACCTGGTTCCACAGACCATGAACCTGGTTCCACAGACCATGAACCTGGTTCCACAGACCATGAACCTGGTTCCAGAGACCATGAACCTGGTTCCAGAGACCATGAGCCTGGTTCCACAGACCATGAACCTGGTTTCACAGACCATGAACCTGGTTCCACAGACCATGAACCTGGTCCCACAGACCATGAACCTGGTTCCACAGACCATGAACCTGGTTCCACAGACCATGAACCTGGTTCCACAGACCATGAACCTGGTTCCAGAGACCATGAACCTGGTTCCACAGACCATGAACCTGGTTCCAGAGACCATGAACCTGGTTCCACAGACCATGAACCTGGTCCCACAGACCATGAACCTGGTCCCACAGACCATGAACCTGGTTCCACAGACCATGAACCTGGTTCCACAGACCATGAACCTGGTTCCACAGACCATGAACCTGGTTCCACAGACCATGAACCTGGTTCCACAGACCATGAACCTGGTTCCACAGACCATGAACCTGGTTCCAGAGACTATGAACCTACAGTTTAGTTCCAGAGGCCACCTCTCACAGCTCCGACACTTGCCGTCCACATTTCCTGAATACAAATGTTCTGTGACACCATGCAGTTTGATCTTGGCATGTGCCACTCGTTTGGCGGTAAGGAATACATGTCGATCAGTTGATTGCTGCTGACACAAATTAGTTGCATTGTCAAATTTCATGCTGTATTTCTACGTTCAAATCCCCTCCAAGGTACATCCCGGTGTTTCTAGCGAGTCATAAAGCAAGGAATTTACCGGCAATCCCTGGTACATAGCTTCCTGGTAGGTAGAATAAAACTCCACAGGGGCGATACATTTGGAGAAGTATTCCATCATGGCGCTACCTACTAACATTACTTTACCTGTGAAAAAGAACTTAAGATCAGCATGCCCATCATCGAGTCTTTACATCAGTTGCCTGGTTTGCAAGCCCTGGCTATGATGCTCTGTCTAACCGCCTCACAAACCGGCAATCCCTTGACTACCACATCAGGTAGGTGGGAGCTGGGATGGCAGGACAGACCTAAACTGACTCAGTAGGAGTCACTGGCATCCTTATCTGGCCACAGCCAACTGCCACTCCACATCACCTGTGTACACAATGGACAATGCACACACAAAACTCTCAAGTGGATAGAAAGTTTATTAGTATGCACTGACATGGGCACAGCCATCATGGTCGGCGAGGAGGCATAACATGCCTGAACATTTCACTGAAGAAAATATTTTATACGAACATGGAAGTTATTCGTTCCTCCAAGACAACGGAGATGCGATCCGCATGCATCAACGCAATGTGGCAAGCACACAGACAGACAAACAGACACAGCACACACAGACACACACATGCACACACACACACATACAAACAGACACAAACACAGCCGAAGACACACAAACACGAACACACGCACACACACACACACACACACTCAAAACACTAGCATTCAAATCGTATCTGGTCAGCATGGTTGGATATTGGTATGTTGATAGGGGTGAAAAGAAGGTCTCAAATTACCATTCGAACCTTCTTTATTAAAACGAACGAAGGTGTCGAAGGATTCTTTTTTTAATTAACATGATCACGGAAATGCTCGGAAATCTTAAAAATAAAAGGGGCAAAAAATCAGAACCCAATGCTTATGTTGTATGTGCAATTCTTTCTGAATCTGGTGGTATCAATGTATATCCATTCCAGGTAAAAGAATACTTTGGCCCAGCACACAACTATAGATAGAGGCAAGGTTTTAACATACTCTTGATAGAGGCCATACCTAATACCTGTTTGTGAGTCAATTGTCCATATTTCTGACAATTTAGATCAGTGTACTTTGGATCATGTACAGACGTGTTAGCCTTCGCCTTTTGGACACAAAGCGACAAGAGATCACTGCTCTAGTGTACAGCCAGTTGCTTGAACAATACCAAAATGGACGGAAAGAGCCATGTTGCGTAGTAAATATCAGATGCCCAAATTCATCAAAAATTGTCAAATCTGGATATGTACTTTTCGCTTATCTGCTCGCATCCAGCGACTGCATTGGTGATGGAGAGGAGAGTGAATAGTCACTGGGTGAGGAACTTCACCTGCCTCGATGATTTCAGGCCATCGCTGTGCTCCCTCTCGCTGCTGCTGGGAGAGTGAATACTGCAATGGCTTCAGCGATGGAAACTTTTATTATCGATTCAAATTATGAGACTACACTCGTATGTATCGCTGCTACAACTTTCTCCAGACACCATCACAGCTAGTAGTAGTAGATATCGACGGCAGCTACAGCAAGCTATATTCCTGGTACAAGCAGCATTACTGAGCGAAGACAGGATCGAAATCGCAAAACTACTCTCCTACTAGTATCGCAGAGCGCCAAGCACTCTGGAGGAATACAATCAAAAAAAGTCATCTATGAGTACACCATGGTAGATCCACAACACACTACAGCAAAACGGGAACACGCTGAGTGCTGGTGACTGGAACAGGGCCAGTTCGTACGGACTTGTGACTTGTCACTTCTTCAGTTCCGGTGCGCACGCGGACCGTGCCCCTACTTGTACAGCATGGACAGTGCTAGTGCATGCAGCACATCGCACAAAATCAATGCATGCATGCATGCACTAAACCCGTGTCGACCTTCGTTCGAATCGAAAACGAAGGTCCTTCGAACCTTCGACTACTTCGTTTCACCCCTATATGTTGATGTGCTACATTCTACTCTTCACCACCCTCGTGACTTTGGCCTCACCACCCTCGGTGACCTTGTCAAACTTGAAGTGCCTAACGTTCAGGGATTGGAATGTCGCACGTGCTATTGTCATCAGATGCTCAACATCCACATGATCACAGAATCTCAAGTCCAGAAGTTGTAAGTTACGACCGTACACTGTTGAGCGACGTACGTAGTACTGCAGTACACCAAACATGCAGAAAACATACAATACCGGTACAAACACACACATACATACATACACACACACAAACACACACACACACACAAACACACACACACAAACACACATACATACACACACACACACACACACACACACACACACACACACACACACACACACACACACACACACACACACACACACACACACACACATACAGACTCAGACATGCCCATCGCGGAAGCGATGATAGCGAACAGCCATGTTAGACACAGCAACTTGTGCTGGGATTACACCATTCAACAGCTTGCAAGGCTGATGAATTGACTGCCACTAATTTTAGCCTGGTATCCACCACATAGCTGTTTGAAGTGGCTTTTTCTGGCCAGTGAATCCCCCCCCCCCCACACACACACATACACACACATATATATACACACACACACACACACACACACACACACACACACACAAAGACACACGCATGCACACACAGACAGACACACACACACACACACACACACACACACACACACACACACACACACACACACACACACACACACACACAAAGACACACACACACACCTGTCCTGTCCTGTTCTGTAGAGTCACTGCCGCAAAAGGGTCACGTGATCCCATCACTGGGAAGCCTGAGAGGAGAGAGAGAGAGAGGACACGACGCTCGATGACGCTCCAGGTGCACGGGTAGTCTCATCCGTTTGCCGCATATGCACACGTGCTGGAAGGCTGAGCGCTCCTCTGCTGTTGGTCTATGCGCCACCCTTGAACAGCGATGCCTGCCCCGTCCCCGAACACTGCGAAAGCAGCGACCACACCTGTCACAATGCGCGGCACAACATCCCTCCGCCGGTGCCGACGTTCCGGTAGCTCCAGGTGGCACTGTGGCATCCACCGTTGAGGCACACACATGCCGGACCAAGCCACCGCGGCTTCTCAGCCACCGCCCACACCGCCCACACTGAGGCTCAGGCGCATTGTCAGGCTCTTGGTAGGTGCTGCGTCACTCCGCGCGGGACTCACATGCAACATCATACCATGATGCCTCCACGCCACGGGCACGTAGATCCCGGACAGCACAGTCCTACCATCTGCGGCGTGGGCCATGTGCTAAACGACGCTGCAAGAAGGAGCCAAACAGTACCTGTTTCGGGATGCGGTTGTCCGGCATCCGCGCCACATGCCCCAACCACTCCAACCGCCGATGTGCAATCTTGTCTTTAATCGTCTCGGAGTCTCCCCAGCGCACCAGCAGGTCTTCGTTGGTGATGTGTTCGTCCCACATCCAGCTTCGAGAGACCCCGGGGATGGATCGGATGCACCTCATGCTGAAGGTTGAGAGCTTCTGCAAGTCATGTTGAAGGGGCGTCCAGCACTCAGAGCCATACAACAGCAGGGACAGAACGCAAGCATTGAATACGCACCGCTTGGTGTGCATCAACAGATGTGGATTGGAGAATACAGACCTCCGAAGAGCACCGCAGGCCCTGGAGGCTTGGGCAATCCTTGCGGCGATGTCCCGGGACGAACGGCAACCGCTGTCCACTACAGACCCGAGGTATTTGAAATGCGGTACGCATTCCACCTCCGCTTGACCAAGTTAGAGGGGAGCGCGGTCAGTAGGCGTGATGTCGGGGCCAACAACTACAAACTGAGTCTTCGTTGCACTGATGGTCAAGCCGAATCCCGACGCCACCTCGTGAATACAGCACAATGCTGTGCCCGCTCCAGACCGAGTCGTAGCGAATAGACAAGAGTCGCTAGCAAACTGGGAATCTGTTAGGCAATGGTGTTGGTCGTCACGGCGGGGTTAACGGTATAGATCGCTGCTGTATGCTGAGCGGAGCTCGAAGCCAACCCTGTCAACTCTCCTGACGCGGTGTTGCCACTGGGTCATCACGGCCCACATAAAGATATTAAAAAAGACCGGCGCCATAGAGCACCCCTGGCGAAGACCATTACCAATGCTGAACGGGATTATGTTGTTGAACTGCACCGATGCTGACATGGGGTCGTGGAACGACCGGATGGTGTTGATAAGCTTTTCTGGTACTCCCGCACAGCCGAGGACCTGCCACAGACACCCCCTGGGCACTGAATCATAGGCCTTCTTCAGGTCGATAAACACAAAATATCCCTCACACACACACATGGATAGAAAAAATACAAGCAACAACACACACACCAGTACATCTCCATAGACACACACACACACCAATACATCTTCATATACACATGCACACCGACACACAGAAACACACACACACGTAACCGCACCTTTCATACAAGCTAGGGCAGGTGCCTTAAGGGATGGATGGAGATGGGGTGCAGGTGGGTGGCTGGCTAGCTCTCTTCAAAAATATTGCATTCTGCCTAATATGTTATGGGCTCTCTCCCCCTACTCCCCTCTTCTCTCTCTTCTCTTTTCTCCCTCTTGTCTCTCTTTTGATTGACGAGTGTCTTCTTCAGGATGGTGATTATCATTATTAATAATTATCAGTCCGAAGAAAAAGGCACTTGTAGGAAGGCATCAATCAGTCTAGTCTCCTGTTGGTCTTCATATCCTCCGTTCTCTGTCTGGCAGGCTGGCTGCCAGACAGACAGACAGCCTGGCTGTTTGTCTGTCTGATTGTCTGTCTGACTGTGCCTCTGTCTGTCTGTCTCCGGTCTGTCTGTCTGTCTCTCTCCCTGACTCTCTCTCTCTTTCTCTCTCTGTCTCTCTGTATCACTCTCTCTGTTTACCTCTCTGTCTCTCTCTCTGTCTCCCTGTCTCTCTCTCTCTCTCTCTCTCTCTCTCTCTCTCTCTCTCTCTCTCTCTCTCTCTCTCTCTCTCTCTCTCTCTCTCCCTGGCTCTCCCTCCTTCCCTGACTCTCCCTCTCTCTCCTGGACTCTCCCTCTCCCGGCTGAGGCTCTCCCTGATCGTTTCCCTGACGCTCCCTCTCTCTCCCTGACTCTCTCCCTGACTCTCCCTCTCTCTCTCCCTCTCTCCCTGACTCTCTGACTCTCTCCCTGACTCTGTCTCTGTCTCTCTGACTTTCCATGACTCTCCTTGACTCTCCCCCTCTGACTCTTTCCCTCTGACTCTCTCCCTCTGACTCTCTTCCTGTCTGTCTCTCTGTCCAGGGACGTCGGAAGGTAATTTTGTGTGGTACAGCCATCTGGAGTACAATTTACTCATGGTAAAGGGTGGCTGAGCCGAAAATTCTGGAAAATTAGAGCCCACATCAGTGCATGATTCACGGCATACTTGGGTCAAATAGTGGTACGGTCATTACCGTAGTGACCGTGCTGTGTGCGATGCCCCTGCTGTCTCTCTGTCTTTCTGACTCTCTGGCTCTCTGACTCTCTGACTCTCTGTCTCTCTCGCTCTTCTCTCTCTGACTCTCTCTCTCTCTCTCAGTCTCTCACTCTCACTCTCTCTCTCTCTCTCTCTCTCTCTCTCTCTCTCTCTTTTCTCTCTCTTCTCTCTCTCTTCTCCCACAATACTTGACAAGAGATGAGGTTGACATTGTTCTCAGTTCTTTCTAGAAGGATCCTTACCTGTTGGTTGTGTTTGACCAGTGCCATCATTTCAGAGTCCAGTACCGCTTCATCTTCAACACTGTCTGAAGTCTTGCATACGACCGCCAATGGCAAGAACGGATCGGATGTGAGCTGCTTCACACCTTTCACCTCCAGGATGCGTAGCATGGGACACAGGAGTAGTAATGATCGCACTGCAGCATTGCCGATATTGGTGTGCCAACTTAGATTCACTTTCTCCAGGAGTGGGCAAGACTGAGCCACACATTCCGCAACATGCTCATTAAGCAGGAGTGGGGAACCCTTGGGCAGTGACAGTTCGGTAAGCCTTGGAGGACAGCTATCCAGAAGGCTGTCAATGACTTCAGGTCCAATGTGATTATCTTTCAGCTGAAGAACTGTCAGGGATCTGCAGTGCCTCAAGATGAGACAAAGCACATCGTCTGAGATATTGCGTGTATTCACTAGCTGCAGTGTTTCCAGCTGCAGAAGAGACAAGACGTATGCAATAAGCAATGGGCGCGTTCGATTACACACATTTCGGTCGATTCCAGAATTAGTTAATGTTGATACACAGTTCGATTACACAAACTCCGTCGTTAGAATTGATGGTATTTGTTTCAGTCAACTCGTCAATCAGTTCACACCAGCCAACACGGTTCAATCCAGCAATGGGATTAATCAATACATGCAATAAGAATAAATACAAGGAAAACGGTTCTGGATAATAAATTAGGACACTATGGATCTGGCCACCATGCTCGGGCTCTCTCTCTCGATCTCCTCGACCTTGCGCCAGGATCCGTCAATATGTACAATCACTACAAGTATCACGTGCGACCTACGTCGCTGGTAGACTGCATGGTACTACCCAGCGCTAGGGATAGGGCATGCTAAGTATGTGGCGAATGCGTACAGAAGGAACACAGTGCAGGTAGGTCTAGGATGCTTCTAGCATATCAGCAGATTACTGAAAGCGCATCAATGACAGAGACAAAACATACATTACAACAAGAGTCATGCAACTATCAGCCATAGTTCAGTGGGACTACCACATTTCCTCCCTTCTTAGAAAAGACCAGCGGTCTACTGATAACGACTTGGCTTTCGAGTCGTACGCTGCGGACGGCCAGCAGCTGGCGGAACAGTACTAGGTGTTGCGGCCGTTGGACTGCCGGGAGCTGATGGAACTGTGGAATCTAGCGGAGTAGCTGTTGCTACTACCTCCGTCGGATCCACTTGCAGACGGTCAAGATGACGGCGGAAAGTCACTCCCTCTTCGGTCGTAATGACTGCATCATGTGGTGTTGCTGTGACGATGGTAGCTTTGTCAGTTGAGCCAGAGGGTTGCTTGACGAACACTGCTTGTCCAGGCACCAAGGTGCGGGATTTTGCTTGGTGAGCTGCGTCGAAAGTCACCTTGGATGCTGCCTTGTGCTGAGCATCGCGTTCACGCACTTCCTTGTCTATCTCTTCGTCATCGTCGGCAGTAGCCATGTTATCTACTGGCTGAAGCTGCCTGAGTGGAGTACGATAACCTCCTCGTAGTAGGAGATCTCCCGGCGGTTTGCCGGTAGTGGTGTTGATAGCTGATCGAACAGCTTTGAGCGCCACACGAAGAGCGTCGTCTGCTCGTGGCATGCCGGATTTCCGCATATGTTGCTTCAAGGTCCGGTGGAGACGCTCAACAGGGTTCTGACGTGGTGTGTAATGCACAGTGCGTTCGTGGCTGATGCCCCACGATTCAAGCTGGTTACGGAACTCGTCGCTGCAGAACTGTGCACCGTTGTCGGAGATGACGTGCCGTGGCATGCCGAACAGCGTGAAGATCTGTTCCAGCGCCTTGATGATGTCCCTGGTCTTCTCAGCTGGTAAGCGGACAACTGCTGGATACCGACTGTACAAGTCCAGAAGGGTGAAGAAGGCGCTTTGCTGGTAATAAAACACATCAATAGCGACTATGTGCCAGGCATGTGGAGGTAGGTCGCGTGGTTTCAGCGGTACTGGTCGTATAGCTGCTTCTGTCGCACATGGTGTACAGCTGGCTAGGAAATGTCGAGTTGCCGTGTTCCAACCGGGCCACCACACAGTCTCCTTGAGTTGAGCCAGTGTCCTGTCTCGACCAAGGTGTCCCTCGTGAGCCAGGTTCAGTACGTGTTGAGCTGCCGATGCTGGAATCACCACTCTTTCCCCTCTCAGAATGAGAAAGTCCGACGAGTTCGGAAAGGGCCACACGCTGAGTTCCGGACTAAGGGCTTGGTACGGTGCGAGCTCTGTCGCCGACGGCCATTTACCCGATCGCAGCGCATCTCGCACTGAGCACGGAGTGGAGTCGCGCGCTGTTTCTCTGGCAATCAACTGGCGATGTGCTGAAACACCGTCTGCCACGGTGACAGCATGGACGAGAAGGAAACTCGGGTCAGCATCCTCAGCCGGCAGCCTGGACAATGCGTCAGCAATGTGATTCAACTTGCCGGGGCGATATTGCACGGTTAAGGTCAAGTCTTGCACTTTCAACACCAGGCGCTGTACTCGGAGACTAGCTGAGGCCAGCTTGTACGACGGCATAAATACGTGAACCAGTGGCTTGTGGTCAGTGATAATGGTCACAGGCATGCCGGTGATGAAGCTGCGGAAACGATTAGAGCCCCACGCGACCGCCAGTGCCTCTCGCTCGATGGTTGCATAGCGTGACTCTGCATCTGACAACTTTCTGCCTGCGTAATAGACAGGTCGCCACTCTTGACCATCTGTTTGCGACTGCTGTAGGAGTACTGCTCCAAGGCCATGGCCAGACGCGTCAACTTCGATGCGGGTCGGCAGCGTTGGATCAAATAGCGCCAGAATAGGTGCACTAGTAATCAGACTGCGTATCTTCTCAGCTGCGGTGTGGCAAGCTGCTGTCCAATTCCACTTGCCAGACAATAGTGCTGTCATCGGAGCGACAACCGAGGCAATGTTAGGAATAAACTTTGCCACGTAGGTTGCTAAGCCCAGAAATGCTCGGAGTTCGGCCACATTGGTGGGATCCGACTGGACAGGAGACTGCACTCTTGAACATTATCCTTTCATGTTGTCACATGTTGCACGTTGATACTGGATTGTAGTTACGAATTGTGTACAGAACTGTCACATGCTGCAAGGGCAGTATTGTCAAGACATGCTAGGTCGCTTGCAATATTGGTGCGTTGCGTATTACTGCTATGTATTTCGCGAGTGTAATATTTATTTGTTAGTCTGTTAGAATTACATCACGAGTGCATGTCTGTTACGTCTACGTCGAGACACATTTTACGATACAGTAATTGCTATGCGTGTTCGTACCACGCCATGTTCACGAGCGGAATATCTTGTGAATTGTTCTAATGTATTATATAAGTAGACTTGTTGACACACTAATTGGTTGCAATGTACATGTACTTACTAGTATTTGATCCGTTGCATTATCGCCATCCGCGGCAACTCCGCTACGATCTACTTGGCGAAACTTACTCTCGCTGACAGGGTGTGCTGTCACCCTGTCGCTGGGTGCAAGCACCCCTTGACAGACACTGTTTTCACCTCCGTAACCAACAATTCTTTATTCTTTCACTCCAGCACATTGCAAGTCATTATTAGTTTCTGCTTGTTCTGCATTTCAAATTATTGCTTTTCTTTTCGTTGCATGCACTCGTACTCGTCCGCGCTGCACGCGGACTTTGGCAGTCGCCATATTTAGTATCTCTATGGCTACGATGATCATGCATTTTCTGTACGCTGCATTTTCTCTCTATGCCACGTCGTTGTGTGCATGCATGCAGCGCAAGCCAAATGCACGCACGCTGCACGTTTTGCCCAGGACAGCGATTTGGCGATCGTTGTTCGGTGTGTTCTTTGGTGTTCTTGTTGAAAACGAGTGGTAATGTCGATTAAAGGAGTTTCTGGGTTTTTGTGGTCTGCCTGACTATGGTTAGTTGCGGGACCAAGTCGCACCGCAACACCGACATCTGACTGAGTGACTCAACCTTCGATGGACCTGGCGAAATGCCCTTCGCCGAGACGTGATGTCCCAGAAACTCCAGCTCTGAGACCTGGAAGACGCACTTCTTGTCATTCAGGGTGACATTGTACTCCTTGAGAGCCGTCAGGACTGCTGCCTTGCGTCGATCATGCTCTTCCAATGATGGAGCATAAATCAGAATGTCGTCTAGGTAGATGACTACCCCTTCACATCCTGCCAGAATTTGCTCCATCTTACGTTGAAATATTTCAGGGCCGCTGGACACGCCGAACGGTAGACGACAGAAACGGAAGTACCCCAAGGGTGAGGCGACCACGAAGGCATGACGACATTCAGGTGAGATCTCGAGCTGAGAATACCCGGACTTCAGGTCAAGCTTCGAGAACATCTGTGCGCCCGACAGTCGAGATAGAAGCTCATCAGCTGTTGGGAGTTGCACACCCGGTCGCCTTACCGCTGCGTTGACTTGTCGTAAATCTACGCACCAGCGCATGGTTTTGTCGGGTTTCGGTGTGGCTACCAGTGGCGAAACAAAGTCCGGAGCCGTTACTTCCTCCACCATCTCGACCACTCCTTGTTCTAGCCATGCATCTAGTTGTTGGCGTAGCGAGGTGAGCAGTGCCGGTGTTACCCGTTGAGATGACTGTTGAGACGGAGGGCGATCCGGATCGAGAGCGATTGTAATCGGGCCGCGCATAGCAGGGAGTGACGCTAGGCCCTCGGCACAGGCTGGGATTTCAACTGCTGAAATCGGCAATGCCAGAAGACCTAAACGGATGGAGGCCTGCTCTCCCAGTAATGCTGGCACAGTGCAGTGTGCGTCATCGACTACAAAGATAGTCTCAGTCGTTTCGCGGCCCTGATAGCTCAGGTTACCCTCAAACACGCCCACAGCTGTTATGCGTTGCGTCCCCACTGGCTGGAGTGGGCATGGCGGCGGTAACAGGACGTACCCCGATGGGAGTAATGACTTAGTGATGATGGAAACCATGCTGGCAGAGTCCACTCTTAGCGACAAGGTGTGTCGGCAGTCCAATGCTACCTGCCTCAGAGGTAGAGTGAAACCGGTCTTCCCTGCCTGTACCCAGGGCCTGCTGGAGAGCCGGGTCAGCCGGGTCACGCGCCCGGCTGGGGAACTGGACGACCTGGCTGAACAGATAACGCCGGGTCCGGTGTGACCCGGCTGAAAAAAGTCTCAAACTGACAATGGATTGCTAAAATACCGGTATTTTACGACTCGCGGACCCCATCTGTTGCAAATCTAGCGCAACCGTACACACTACAGTCTACAAGCGACAGAAACTCGGCTTGGGTCAACTGGGGTCAACTGGTTCGAGCGCGATCTGGCCAGCGGCGAGTGGCCCTTTCCCAAAGGTGCTCGCCCTTTTTGGCTCTTTTTGGAAAAGCCAGTTTCTTTCGCCCTTTATTGCGTTTTTTGGTGATCATCGCCCTTTTTGAGCTTTTTAGCTGAAAAAGTGCTAAA